GTTCGAAGGTGGCCAGTTTTGGGTGAAATTTCCCGACGTGATTTCGAAGGATTTGGAAGTTTTTAAAGGTATAGCCTTCTTCCTCTTGTCATTTGTGAAGTTTTGGTGAAAATTTCATGGAAAATGGTTGAGAATTGAGCGAGAAAATGGCGATTACAAGTCTGCCTAGTTTCCGGTGCCGGCGAGTTTTTCCGACGACTGCAGGTAGGGGATGACGCGTGTGGACCCGTGCTTATCTTGGCGTGTGGGGGTGTGTGACAAGTCCAAAAATTATTCTAAAAATTCCTCGATGTTCGTGACGGCGAGTAGGTCACTGTGGTATATTCATATACCCAAATTGAGCATCGTATGAGAAGTTATTACGTATTGTTGGTTGTATGCTTTAAATAATGTTTTTATAGTTGTTTCACATATAGGTGATACCTATTCCGAGAACGAGCGCATTCAAGGACGTCACGGGGGTTACGACCCTTCGACTTACCAGTGAGTGGGCAGTATTTTCTGTATTTACCTATATACTATTGGTTTTTCCCAGAAATTGAATTTAAATGAAATGTGTTTTAAAATGCCATGCATACATTATATGAATTGATAATTGTTGCGTATATATGTTAAATGGTGTTGTGGACGCACATGTGAGTATCAGGTGAGTTTTATGTTAATCATGTGAATTATTGTGATGTGAATTGTGTTGAGAGCTCATAACCTGCACCTTTGGTATTAGTGCTTATATTATTCACCCCGCACTACACGCTCACCTTGGACCCAAGTAGGTGCATGTCGTACAGACCATTAGAGGGTTCAGACATGTCGTACAAACCATGAGAGGTGGTTCCGACTTGTAAGTGATTTTAGATTATTATACAAATGTTGATGAGAGAATCACTAGAGCGTATTCTTACACCTTTCTTATCGTACAAGCTACTTCAGGTAGTTTCGATTTATGTGCAGAGTAGTGCCGTACAGGTCATTGTGGTGACTCTGGTTGGTTGGATATTGAGCTATTAAATTAACCGTACAAGACCAACTGCAGGGTCTCCGGTTGATTCATTATTTCACTTGTTATATTGATGCATCCTTATCTTGTTATTGACGCTTATACAGTGGCATACTTTCTAGTTTTTGATAAAGATTGGTGATTTGAGATATTTGAAGAATTATAAGCATATTATGTTATTTTCTGGGAAAGTATACAGGTTTTACAACGAGGGGTTAGAAATGTTATTATTTGAAATATTTTCGAAAAGCTTTGTTTTACTAACCCACTCAATTTTGTTTTGCGCCCCTCCAGGTTCTAGTTAGTGGTGTCGGTGGCCCACGAGGATTTCTACGGCGTACTGACAGACTACATAAATGTAGGACTCACCTGCGGGTGTTGTAATTTTAGTTATAGTCCTACTTGACTGCACCTAGTTTTATGCTCTGGATATGTGTGTTTCACACTTAAACTCACTCTAACATGTTAGTTGGTTATTATTGGTACTGGTCAGTTTTATTTCCTTCGTATTTCTCTTATCTATTGCCTCCGCGTCGCACTTTTGGTTATGTCACGCCCAAGTGACGGCCAGCACACTTTGATTCTAGGATCGGGGTGTGTCAACGTCGTACGGATATCAATTATGAAATCAGAACATCTAATTGAACTTAGAAAGACATCTTCAGCCCACTGGCCATGCGCTGCCCACATGCCGCCGTAGGTGGTGGTTGGCCGCTTCGACTTGTCGGAAAATTCAACTATTTCTAAAAATTACCAAATTTCCTAGAAATGTAGTACAAGTCAACGGGAGAAACTTTCATACTTGGGCCAAAGCCTAGTTCGGCCAAGAAACACCTCAAAACAATCTCGATCCGCCGGAAACCCTTGAAATGGCTGGTTTCGATCTGTCACCTTCGGTGCTCCTCCGTCCCTATAACTGTTTAGACTTTGTTCCATGCTTCAAGGGGAGTCTAATGGTGTAGTAATTTGATGAAATCATTTCAAAATTGGTGGATATCGGGCAAAAACTGCTGCAATCACCGGTGCGGTTTTCCCCAAATTCAAATGCCAAATCTCTTGATTTTTAGGGTGTAATAGGAAGAAGGAAGGTCGTTGAGGGTTTTCTAGGTGTTTAATCAGTGTAATTCGCCAGAACTTGGCCGAAAAAGGAGTAAGAGACCCTTGTTTCCGTCGGGTCGGGTCCGGGGAGGTACACATGTTTCCCTATTTTTTTTCTTCTCTCCTCTCCCTCCTTTCTTCCTCCCCCGATTGGTCTGAGTTTCTCCCTTTTCTCTCCTTCCCTTTCTATCACAACCACACACATGGCACTCCCATTGCTCCATATTTTATGGAGCCTTCCAACTTAATGTCAAAATGACTATTTTGCCCTCAACTTCTATCATTAATAACTTCTTCATTATAACTCTGTTCCATGAACGGTTTCGGCCTACACATTCATGAGACTAAGCTCTATTCAAAAATATAAATTTTGACCTTGAAAGGTCTATGAATTTTAGATAATTAATTTCCAAACTTCAAACTTCGTAACTAGTTCAATTTAAAACTAAACTCAAATAAATTAATATAACTTCTCCAAAAAATAATATAAAATCTCAATAATACAATACGTAAATTATAATAATTTCCGGAAACAAAACTTTAAAAGTTCTCAATTCAATTTTTCATAACCATAAATCCATTTATTTTCAATTTTCTCCACATATTCATAATTATGAATATTTAATTCATATATTTAAAATTTTAGGGTACTACAATCCAAAGTTGAAATTCATTACAAACTTGAATTAAAAGAGATTGAATTCAAAGGTGTGTGAATTATAACCCAGTATTCACCCTATTTATAGCCCAAAAAATTTCAAATCCAACGGCTCGCTGACGTCACTTAGCTGCTAGATTTGAATTTAAGTTGTAGTTTATAAATAATAAATTATGTTTGGCCTTCGGTTGGACAAGGCTATGTTAGGCCCTATGGCTCCTTGGCCCTCGGTTGAAGATGGTAAGAAATATGGTCATGCACTGTTCATTAAAATATTAATTTTTTGGAGGGCCAGAAGACTAAAACAAGCCATTTGGCAGCATTCGGTTGAAGATGGCCTTAGATGTCTTTGCTCCGCCCCACACCCCCTCGTGTTTATTCTCTAAAATAAATGGAACCGTCTCGTAGCCACCCTGAATCTAAAGTACTCACTCTGACCCACAGTTCCCCTACCCGATTGCCCCTACATCCAGTATTAGTACACTATAATTTTCCAAGTAGAGACGTTCTATATTAATTGAAACCTCATCTACTAGAGGGTTATTATAAAAAATGGTCCATGAGATTTGCATGATCAATAGAAATTGTCCATGAGATTGTCCACAATCCATGATTTTGGTCCTTCCGTTAAAACGATTTTGGGCAATTTTCAAAACTTTGTAATTAAATCGTTTCTTAATCAAATTTGGCCCATAATATATCAAAATGAAGATAGGAAAGTGTAGAATAAGATTATACCTATTGAAAGCCCAATGGTTGCCAGAGATGGCTTGAAAATAGCCTGAAAGGTGACTGGTCTACGAGAAAACTGGGTAAACTTTAAACGTTCATAACTTCTTCAATACTCAACGAAATTGCGTGATTCAAAAACAAAAATAATAATTCTTGACGAGACGAAGAGAATGGTATCTTTTTTAAAGGCTAACTCACCGTGGTTTGGTTGGACAAGTTAGCCACTTTCGAGCAATTTTCTGGCAAAACCATGGTGATTTATCAGTAAATAAAGATACTATTCTCTTCGTATCGTTGAGAAGTATGATTTTAATTTTTGAATCACTTGATTTTTTTTAGTATTGAAGAAGTTATGAACGTTTAAAGTTTACCCAGTTTCCAGCGAGTTTTCCAGTTTTCCCGCCGATTAGTCACCGTTCAGGCTATTTTCTGGCCATCTTCAGCAATAATTGGGCTTCCAAATAGGTATAATCTTGTTCTACACTTTCGTATCTTTATTTTGATATATTATGGGTCGAATTTGGTTAAGAATCGATTGAGTTACGAAACTCTGAAAATTTGCTCGAAGAGTTTTAACGGAATGACTAAAATCATGGATGGTGGACAATCTCAAGGACCATTTCTATTCATTTTCAATCTCAGAGATCATTTCTATTGATCATGCAAATCTCAAGGACTATTTTGTATAATAACCCTCTCTAGAAAACACCAAGAAATCAAATCTACGAGAAGATACTCCAAAAATGTGGGTTTGTGATGGTATTTTTAAAAGAGAGCTTTAATGAAAAGGATTTCAGCTCACTTCAATTTAACCAAAAATCACCCTAAACTATTATTTAACAAAAAAACTTAAAATTTAATCTTAAGGACATAACTATTCATATATCAGAGCCTACAATTTTAAAAACTCACGAACTGAATTAAAAGCCCAACTAACAATAAATGTTTTTTTTCCAAATTTGCCCCTGACAGAACCTAACCAAACTAGGGCTGGAAAAAAAATACCGAAAATCCCGAACCATACCGAAACCAAACCGAAAAAATACCGAACCAAAAATCCCGAAAATTTTAGTACCGAAACCGAACCGATCCCGAATTGTTCGGTATGGGATTCGGTTTTACAATTTGAAATTTTCGGTATTCCCGATCCCGAACCGAACTTTATTAATATTATATTAGGTATATTATATATATGTGTGTGTGCATGTGTCTGTGTGCGTCTGTGTGTGTGTGTTGGCAATATTATATTTATATTAGGTATATTATATATATATGTGCATGTGTGCATGTGTTAGGTATATTATATATGTGTGTGTGTGCATGTGTCTGTGCGTCTCTGTGTGTGTGTTGGAAATATTATATTAGGTATATTATATATATATGTCTGTGTGCATGTGTCTGTGTGCGTTTGTGTCTGTGTGTTGGAATGCGTCAGTGTGTGTGTATATGTTATGCGTCAGTGTGTGTGTGTATATATGTATATGTGTCGGTGTGTGTGTATATATGTATATGTGTCAGTGTGTGTGTGGTGTGGTGCTGACAAACGTTGCATCAAGCACATGGGAAGGGATGGGTCACGCACGCAAGGCAAGGGTGCTTGCTTTCTGAAGATAGAGCCGTCTCTCTCTTCCCTATTTTCTGTCTCTCATCAGTCATCTCTCTACTACCTAATCCTTTATCCCTCTCATTTTTTCTCACTCATCTCTCTCGTATTCTCTCTCTCTCTACAACCCAGAAACCACCTAACCTTTCCTTCCACCAATCCAAAACCAAGCCAAACATCCCTACTCACTCTCTCTCATTTCATTTCGCCTCTCATCTGCCTTCACTCAGTCTCAGACTCTCCCTCTCTTTCTCGAATTTGAAGCTTAGCAGCCACCCACCGTCTAGCAATCTGACTCCGACGAACTATCTGCACTTCGGCTACCACCACACCTCATGGCTTCATCCCCACCTTCGGTTATCTCCAGTGATTCTCTGTGTGTGTGGGATTTCGAATTGAGGTTAGGGTTTTGAATTGGGGCTTAGGGTTTCGAATTGGGGGCTCGGGTCAGGAGGAGGTCCCTCTCTTCACTCTGCTTCTTTCTCGACCATAAATCTTTCACTGATTCACTATCACTATGTCTTTGATTTCAATTTGGATTTTTAATGCAGGTTCGGATGATTTCAATATTAATCTAAGACGATTTGGATTCTGATGATGTTCGGTTTCAGGAAATTCCGAAATACCGAAAATATTTCGGGAATCCCGAAATTTCGGTTCGGGATCGGTCTTGAGATTTACGTCCCAAAAATTTTCGGTTCGGGATTTGATATGCCATTTTTGGTTCGGTATCCCATACCGAACCAGCCCTAAACCAAACCCGTTCATTGGCTTTGCCTTTTTCTGTCGTATATGGGGCTTTTGGTGTTGCCCCATTTTCCACACCCACCACTGTCCTTATTTATTATTATTATTTTATTTTTGTTGTTTTGTGTATGTGTCTATGTCTGTGTTTTCAAAGTTGGTAAGTTTTTTTTTGTTTGTTTTTTTATTACAAATGGTTTTTTAAATTGACCAATCTCATTAAAATTGTCTCTGAAATTGAAAATCGATCAATGTAGTCTTTGAAATTAGATGTCACAAATCAATGTGATCCTTTCATCACAATTCTATCAAAAACTATGTTTAGTACTGATATGGCACTTAAATAGGTCCCACAAATTAAATTAAATAGTATTTTGTGAATTAAAAATATTTAAATAATAAAAATGATATTTTTTTTAATTTTTATTAAAAAAAAGCTTCATGTGCAACAGCCATAACGCTCAGAGTCTTCTCATCCTCCTCATCTTCCTCCGTTTCTTTCAAGCCCTAACAAGTCACTCACTTTCAAGTTCAGCACTTCCTAGTGGGGTTGGGTTTGGGTGCGATTACATTTGCGACGGTGACGACGAGTGACGAGAAAGGCTCGAATGCCGGCGTTAAACTCCACGAGCCAATCAATAGGGTTAAACTCCTATTGCACTACACGGCTCTCCTTTCGCGGTTTGATGATTCGAAGCGGGTCATGGGCTGCACGGCCCGGGTGTGGCAGCAAGTCGAGATGGACGAGGATGGCAAGATGAGATTCGCGGCCGGCAACAATTTCAAAATCACTAGGGGCTTCCACTCCTGCCAGGTTTCGGTGCTCGATGACACGTTGCCAGAAGAGGTGTTGCAGGTTAAGATCGACGTCTTGTCGTCACTCAGTGTGGGATTGCCGGGCGCGTTTGTTTTTTGCCTTTTCAAGTTTTTAATAATAAAAAATAATTTTATTTTATTTTTTATTATAAATTATTGAATTATTTTTAATCCATATTGAAATAATTAATTAGGTTTATGGAACCGATATGTGCCACATCAGCACTTCACAGAGTTTTTTACGAAATTATGACAGAATGACCATATTGATTTGCGACACCTAATTTTAAGGACCACATTGATTGATTTTTAATTTCAGAGACCATCTTGATGAGATGGGTCAACTTCGGAGATCATTTGTAATAAAATTATGAGCAGCTATTATCCATATATGCATTATAATACTAGACTATGTTTATGTACATCTTTTCATCTTGGCCTTTCGTAATTAAGAGCCGGAGAGAAGTGGTTTGAAAGGAAATAATGAAATGTTAAGCATTCGACCTAGCAATTCATAATTAATTTTTAGACTCTCTTTTGTGGCCTAAACATTTGAAGTATTCAAAATCTCTAACTCTAATTAATTTATTAATTAGCAAGAGTGCACACACTATGTTGTGTGTTTTAAAAATGGGACACTTTGGATGCGGTCCCTAGCTATCAATATTCTTTGATTGAAACCTTGTTAGTTTTTTGTTTTTGATTGAGGTCCCTGATATTAATGTAATAATGTAAGTTACTATATTTTTTTAATTAAAAATTAAAAATTGAAATTTGTAATATTTTATATTAATGAGATTTTAAATAAAACCCATAATTATGGGATTAAAAATAATAAAATATAAATTATTCTCTCTATTATATTGTGTGTGTGTGTGTGTGTACATATGTGTATGGGTACATTAACCAAAATTAATAAAAAAAGTGATTGTACCAAAACATGGATACATTCTCAAATCAACGAAAAAGAATGTACCCATATAAGTTTAAACATGGATTAAAAAATTTGAATGGATTTTATATTAAAAAAGGGTACATTTTACATATAACAAATTGATATATTTGAGAATGGGTACATTTAAGATTAAAAAAATTGAAAAATTATATGAATGGGTACATTTAAGATTAAAAAATTGAGAATCTTTTTATATATAAAAAAAAACTAATAGGTACAAACTTAATTTAATTTAATTTTTTATTATTTTGGAAATGTTTGAATTGAAAATTAATTAGAAGTTTAATAGAGGTGTGAGTATTAAACCCTAAATTAATTATTAATTTTTATATTTAAAAAATTATATAATAAACATGTAAATTCATTATCACATTAATGCTAGGGACTTGAATCAAAATTTGAGAACTAATAAGGTGTTAGTCAATGAACAGTAAAAACCAGGGACCGGATACTAATTTTTCCTTTAAAAATATATACGATAGACAATATTATTTACATATATGTGGAAATCTACTTACAACTCTATTTATAATGACAAACAAAATAGAAATTTTTTTTTATCCTATCTAGTTACAACCCTATTTACTTGTCGAACAAACAAATGTTTGTCATGAGTTCAAAAAGTACACCGTTCATCATTTAAAATTTGCCAGGTGATAAACTGGTGATAAGAGTATCTCTTATGTATCAACAGAATTAACCAACCAAATCTAAGAATTCAAGAATTTGAAATTGACTTAACAAGCACATATTTGTTTTAGGATTTTCTTCTTGTAATTCACTTTGAAATCCTCTCTATATAAAATACAACAAAAATTATAATAAAAAAAATCTTACAAAATCGATGAGATAATTCACTTTTAAATCAGGATAATTTACACAAATACCTTAATTTAATGATAAGGAAAAAAAACATTAAAAAAAAAAGTAACCAAAAAGCGCGTGCAATTGCACCTCTGTTGCTTCTGCAGTTACGCTGCTACCTTTGATAACAAAATAAAGAATTTGCCGCCCAAGCGCCGGTTCATGCATAAAGAAAAAAATTGGTTAAAAAATCCCTTGCAAAAATCAAGCGCCGGCCTTAGGAAAAAAAAAAAAAAAAAAGGCACTTACCTCCGCAAAAAATTAAATCATTGCTTATTTTTTTAGGTGTGTACATATTGTGAAAGAAGAGGAAATTAGATCTAATTTTTATGAAACTCTACACTATTTATCAACAAAACTCAATAACTACGTACTATTTTCAAAAGTTAACCAAGAAATATGCATTATTTATGAAATTGAACAAATAAATAGTGCAGTACCATTCAGTTTCATAAATAGTAACGTTCAATTTCATAAATAGTGTAGTACCTTTCAGTTTCATAAATAGTGTAGTACCTTTCAGTTTCATAAATAATGTAGTACCATTCAATTTCATAAATAGTGCAATAATATTAAGTTTTACAAACAGTGTAATACTGTTCAGTTTCATAAATAATGTTTGTGATGGATACGCGTAGATCCCGCGCATCACTTTTTTTTTATAATTTTGTTATATATTAAAATAATATAAATTTCATTAAAATTTAAGTTATTTTGTCATCTTAATTAAAATTTAAGGATTTTTCATTAAAATTTAAGTTTGTTTCATTAAATAAACTTATAGTATATTTTTTGTTAAAATAAACTTAGTCCAAATGTTTTTCATGAAAGCTCCCTAAACACTCTAAGTTATTTTGGTTTAGTTTTCATAAATAGTGTGTAATTTTGTTGTAGTTCTAGAAATAATGAGTTATTTTGGTTCAGTTTCAAAAATAATGAGTTATTTTGTTCAGTTTAAAAAATAATGTGAGTTATTTTGCTGTCGTTTAAGAAATATTTCCAAAAATAGTGAGTTATTTTAATTCAGTTTCATAAATTATTTTGGTTCAGTTTAAGAAATTATCACATCCCCGCCCGGGCTCCCATTACATCCTGGACTCAACTCCATCGTAGCACGATATTGTCTGTTTTGGGCCCCGACCACGCCATCACGGTTTTGTTTCTAAGAACTCACATGAGAACTTCCCAGTGGATTACCCATCATGAGATTGCTCTCGCGCGAACTCACTTAACTTCCGAGTTCCGATAAAACCCGAAACTAGTGAGCTTCCAAAAGGCCTCGTGCTAGGAAGAGATTGGAATATATATATATATATATATATATATATATATATATAAGGCATAGATGATCCACTTCCCTGGGAGATATGGGATGTTACAATTCACCCCCTTAAGGGTCAGACGTCCTCGTCGGCACACTCCGGCCAGGGATTGGCTCTGATGCCAAATTGTCACATCCCGGCCCGGGCCCCCACCACATCCCAAGCTCGACTCCACCGTAGCACGATATTGTCCACTTTGGGCCCCGACCACGCCCATCACGATTTTGTTTCTAGGAACTTACACCAAAACTTCCCAGTGGGTCACTCATCATGGAATTACTCTCGTGCGAACTCACTTAACTTCGAAATTCCGATGGAACCCGAAGCCAATGAGCTCCCAAAAGGCATGTGCTAGGAAAAGATGAGAATATACATATAAGGCATAGAGGATCCACTCCCCTGGACAATGTGGGATGTTACAGAAATAGTGTTGGTTATTTTGTTGTAATTTCAGAAATAGTGTAAGTTGTTTTGGTTCATTTTTCAGAAATAGTATGGTTAAATTTGTTGTACTAAAAATAATGTGGGTTACTTTTGTCTAGTTTCAGAAATAGTTTTGGTTATTTTGCTCTTCTCAAAAATACTACTTTTTTTTTATTTCAGAAATAGTATGAGTTATTTTGGTTCAATTAAAAAAACATAGAAAAACCTATAATTAGGAAAATTTTGGGTCATTTCCATTTGATTGTGTGCATAAAAAGTTAAGATGGACGAAGACTGCATCTAGATAACAGAATAAATCATACTTAAAAGCCTATGCTTGGGTAAAGTCCCCGCATTTAAGGTATTTTTCAGAAAGTCTCTAATATTTCAAGACCGTAAACATTACCATGAGATAATTAGTGAACTAATTAACTGCATTTTTAGTATCTCTTTCCAAAAGAAAATTAATATTTTCTTGCTTCTTAAGTATTTATCAATCCTGGAATATGACTATGCCATACCTCACAATTCCCTCATATTGTTCTTTCAATACTATCAATATATCATTCTTCATACTTAAGAATTAGGAAACTATGAAGATACGCTTTCCTAATCTATTTTTATTTCTCGGGCTTTTTACCAGTAACACACAATATCATTCTTTACAATATTTATTATCTTCAAGTATATAACACACAATCAACAACTAGACCAAAAATAATAGAGATTGGGCTCATTTACTAATTCGTAATCAGAACGAATGGAGTTAAAGTGAGGAGTTGGAATGAGGTAGAATTATAATCATATTCTTGATAAAATTGTTTATTAAAATTTCTTAAATCGGAATAGAAATCGTATTTATCTATATAAGTTGTTTATTAAAACACATAATTCGGAATGAAAACTAATGTACTTACTAAAATATCCCTCTTCCAAATAATCTTTTATTTTTGTATAATTTAATTCTTTTATTTTTGAAAACTTTGTGAGAAATCTTAGGGCATGTTTGGTATCCTACTAAAAAACTTGAATTGTTCTTAAAACTAATTTTCAGGATCATCTCTTAGAAATAGTTTTTTTTAGGTTTCAAAAACTTGTTGTTGGAAATTTGAGTAGTTTGAGTAGAAATTTCCTTGTCTCACATTGGTCATTCCCAAAAGATTTTATCACTTTATAATGCTTTGTCCTTTAAAGAAAGTGATTGGAGTAATAGGTTTGGAGATTAAAATTGGGCTCACCCTTGGGGTTGGGCTTTGGGGTGTATTAATTATTTGGTAATTAATTATAATTAATATATAATTAATATATATTAATTGTCAAAAGATGGGCCTTGGGCCTTGGGTCTCTTGGGCTCTAATAATTAAATTATTTTCGGATTTACTTAATTATTTTTTAATTAAATTCGAATTTAATTAATTATTATTTTTTTGTGAAAGACTCATCCTTTCAGATGCTTTCAGATGAAGTCTGAGAGTTCTTTCTGAACACAGAGCAAAGCACCCCTCTGAAGAGATGTCTCCCAACAGTCACACCCCATTCTCATACCTGTTGCAAACAGGCATCCATCTGCTATATATACATCCATCTGCATGGCATTTAGAACACAGAAATAATCAACTTCATCTTCTACATTCACAAACCTTCTTACTGAGAGAACCACACTAAATTCGCCAGAAGTTAAATTTTCCGGTGCTGGAATTTTAACTTGATCGTTGAATCCTGGTGAAGCAGACGTCCGTAGAACTACAAGCACAGAGTAGGGACGAAATTTCTGTTTCAAGGACATTGCGGTACGCAAGTCTCGATCTTCAAGTTGTTTTGTTTTATAATTCATATTCTAGTTTATAT